TATATATATATATATATATATATATATATATATTTCCACCCTTAATGTACAAGACTCGATCGAATTAGCCACTCAAGGTAGCTTCGCCACAATGTGTAGGTGAGGGCATATTTACTCCGCTGCGCCCTGCCCCATTTCCCACTCTCCTTCCCCCTAGATCATAAAAAATAAATAAATAAATAAAAAATAAAAATAAAAAGGCAACCTGGTACATTAAGTTCTTATTATTATGCGTGAGGTCCGAAAAAGGTCTGGAGCATAAAGGTCTATTGTACACAGTCTTACCCTGTATTTTTGCAAGAGACTATTTTCACGGTTCGAACCCCTAACCTCCTGGTCACATGAAGGCAACTAACTTTATCAGTTACGCCAAGGCTCCCCTATTATGTATAACCAAAAAAAAAAAAGTAACTAGTGCACCTAAATGAAGAAGGACACAGCTAGCAAGATTTGAACTTAAACTTTATTTTGATTTCTTCCCCTGCGGCTTTTTTATGATTTCATCAACGTACATTATACCTTTGCCTTTATAAACTTCAGGAGGTGTACAACTCCTTATAGAAGCAGCAAATTGATGTACCCTCTCTTCGTCAATCCCAGCACAGCAGATGACATTAGGTTTGAAACAGAACACACGAACTGCAGGAGGAACAGTCAGTTCAGCCTCATGGCTATTACCCAGCTTTAGGTATAAGAGACGACCTTCGGATTCTGCCCTAGCCTTGAAACCAACTCCGACAGTCTTGAGAAAGCGAAAGAATTTAGCTTCCATACGACTAAAAATTATCAATCAGCTGAAATGGGAGGTAATATGCAGAAAGCTACATCAATATGAGACCTGCAACAACAACTGCAACACCATAAGAACGACATCGACAACAACAGTAACAACTATTACTACGCCTCAAATTCAAGCAAGTTGAGTCGGCAAGATGAATCCATATCGTTCTATTTAAGCTCGTCTACATCCATATTAGATAAAATAAAATTAGAAGGCACTAGAAATTCTCTACATTTTCTACTGGCATCAAAAGCCACATCAATAGAGTAAAAGTTGAAGGTCAACAAAAGAAAGGACATTATTTCCTTTGGTGGGAGTTTTAGCATGGACAAGACCATGGGAATAATAATTACTCCCTTCGTTCTAATTTATGTGAACATGTTTGACCGGGCACGGAGTTTAAGAAAAAATGAAGACTTTTGAAATTTGTGGTCCTAAACAAGTCAAAAAGGGGCCCAGAGTATTTGTGTGGTTATAAAAGCTTCTCATTAACGGAGAATTGTAAGTTTAAGCTAAATTGTTTCCAAATTTAGAAAGGGGTCATTCTTTTTTGAACGAACCAAAAAGAAAATAGGTTCACATAAACCGGAACGGGTGGAGTAAATATTTCTGATTAAGGATGAAAGCAAAACTAAAAAAGAATGTATTATGCATATAGCAAGTTTACCTATTTGCAAGTATAATATTGCTTGAATAATAATAAACTATTCATTTTTTAATAATAATAAAATGTCAAATTAGTTTGATTTAGAAAAAAAAATAAGAAAACTTAAGCGGGACGGGGACGGGTTAAAAACTGAAAACATAGCTATGCGGGGCGGGATGGGTGAAAAAGAAAACTGAAAAAATAGCTATGCGGGCCGGGCGGGTTAAGACAAACCCGCACCGCACGGCACCGCCATCAATGGGAGATTTCGGACTTCTAACATTGCAGTTGCACGAAATTATCAAACTACTCCCCAAAGTATGATTCAGGATCAAATCTTGGCATCCCTGGCAAAAGATGTGAAATTCGTGTGTTGCTGAAAATGCCAACTAATAGATAAATGATCACTTCTAGAGGAAATAAAGGAAACCAGTAATCACTTCTCTATTTCATCGCTCAATCCCCCTCGCAATTAAGTAATTTCGATAATAGAAGTTTCCATAAAATTGATTATTACAACTAACAACGACGACAAGTAATGGGAAGCAAACACGAATACAAATTATTGCAAATATAACAAAGAATTGGAGAAGGAACTCACAGTTCGGATTTCGTCGCCGATTGGAAATGGGAAAAACTGGTGTTAACTTCAGCCGGAAATTTGGAATCATTCCTGAACCAGGCTAGATAAGTAGAAATGGCGTGGATAGTCACTTTTTAAAGTGGTATTTACTTAAAATTAGTCACTACTCTATTAAAATTAATAAGAAAAAACGGTGTTATCATTACTTCTATCTCTTTTCCTTCCCAAACATTGTACTACAAACTGAAAAACGAAGAAGCAGAATGACACACAAAAAGTTTACAAGGAAAAATTCTAGATCGCGAAGTGCTAAGTGAAAAAGAGAGAAGGAGAGATGGGTTACGCTGACGCCATTCTTTGTCGAGTTGAATGAGCTGATCGACGAGACCGACGTCGGCAAAAATGCGACGTTGAGATTCACGAATGATCTCTATCCTTAAAGAAAGCATTACACATGAAGAAGAGTAGGCTTGCTTCTTTCAAGGCCACTCTACTGAATTCCTGACAGCAAACGAGCGGAATACTTGACCCAGGAAATACCCCGAGAAAGAGGGATCTCCGAGATCCACGGGAGATATGTCTTTTGTAGGTGCTGAAAAGGTGTAGTTAATTCACTACAAATAGACTGAACACCGTAGTAGGANGGGATTATGTCCCTTGTCTTCTCTGAACATATTGAATCAAATTAGCTATTGGGATGTGTTTGTACTGCTATTGGGAAGCTGTATTCCTTACTTGAGTTTGTTTTGTGGGGATTAAACGAAAATCAAATTCAATTTCTGAAATATCCTTAACTTTTGGACATTAAGCGAAATAAGTATACGGTAGGACATTATTTTCTAAATGTGCTGAAATATTGAACTAGGAATTTGATATTGAGGACAAACGTTTTTGAAATGTCCTTAACTTCTAGACAAAAGTTAAGGACAATAGGTTATGAACTTACAGTTACAAGATCAAAAGTTAAGGACAATAGGTTAGACTAACAAGCTTAAAAGTTAAGGACAATAGGTCTTGAACTTAGGCTAAGAAGCCCAAAAGTTAAGGACATGTAGTCCTGAACTTACAGTTACAAGTTCAAAAGTTAACTGTAGTCCTGAAGTCTTTAACTTTTGAACTTGTAACTGTAAGTTCAAGACTTCATGACTATAAATGTCCTTAACTTTTGAACTTGGAACTCGAATTTCACGACCACCTATCCTTAATTTCTGTGCTTGTAACCCTAAGTTAAGGACTACTTGTCCTTAACTTTTGAACTTGTAAGTCTAAGTTTAGGACCTATTGTCCTTAACTTTTGAGCTTGTTAGTCTAAGTTCAGGACCAAGTGTCCTTAACTTTTGAACTTGTAACTGTAAGTTGAGGACCAAGTGTCCTTAACTTTTGAGCTTGTTAGTCTAAGTTCAGGACCTATTGTCCTTAACTTTTGGACATCTTAGCCCAAGTTCAGGACATATTGTCCTTAACTTTTGAGCTTGTCAGTCTAAGTTCGGGACTTCAGGACCTATTGTGCTTAACTTTTGATCTTGTAACTGTAAGTTTAGGACCTATTGTCCTTTAACTTTTATCCAAAAGTTAAGGACATTTCAAAAACTTTTGTCCTCAATATCAGATTCCTAGTTCAATATTTCAGGACATTTAGAAAATAATGTCCTAACGTTTACTTATTTCGCTTAATGTCCAGAAGTTAAGGATATTTCAAAAACTGAATTTGATTCTCGTTTAATCCCCACAAAACAAACTCAAGTAAGGAATACAGCTTTCCAATAGCAGTACAAACACATGTCAATAGCTAATTTGATTCAATCTGTTCAGAGAAGACAAGGGACATGATCCCGAGATCATTCGTGAATCTCNATTTTCCCTCTTGATTCCACCACCAACTCGCTCGTATCTAGCCACAAGTTACTTAATACTATTAATAAGTGCTCAATGAAACATTTCTAATGTATGGAAATAAGTTTTCTAAAGTTTTTCCCAAAAAGTCAAAAATCAACCCCGGGCCCGCTTGGTCCAAACCCGAAATTCAGACCAAAACCCGATTACCCATTCACCCCCGAGCCCGAATATATAATTAGTTTTGGAATCCGACCTCAATTTGAGGTCTAAATCCCCAAATTTCAGTATTCTTAGGTTTTACCCAAATTCCCCAATTCCACCATGAAAACCCTAGATTCTAGGATGAAATCTTGTAAAAAGAAGTTAAGGAGTAAAGAAAATGAGTTAGAAATCACTTACTAATGTTTTGGAGAAGAAAGGTTGTTTGAAAAATCGCCTCTTATGTTTTTGGGGTTTTGAAAAATAAAAAATAACTGAAAATCTCGTTTAAATATACCCCTCTCAGACCCCCTGTGCGGACTGCACAAAAAGGAGTGCAGCCGCGGAGCTCACAATGTTGACTGTAGTGGTATCATTTAGTATTTTGGCCATAACTTCCTCTACAGATGTCCAAATTGTGCTTTCTTTACCTTTCTGGAATAGACACGAAGAGCTACAACTTTTATTTTTGAATCATCTCAAAATTCCTTGTAGATCAAAAGATATAGGCTTCTGAAGTCAGACTAGTGAAATTCTTACTCACCGCGGACTGCACAAAAAGGAGCGCGGCCGCAAAGGCCCCTCTGTGGTCAGCACAAAATCAATGCGGTCAGCACTGGCAGGTAGGGGTGTCAATGGATATTCAAAAACCGACTAAACCGATCGAACCGTACCGTACCGAACCAATTTTTAGGTTTCTTTTAATAAAACTATAAGTTTTTATATAAATATATAACTGAACCGATAATTAGGGTAGGTTTTTTATTTTATAAAAATAAACCAAAAAATACCGAACCGAACCGAATAAATTTACAATGTAAAAAAATATGTTTATATATTATGTTTAAAAATGATAAAGCATAAAAAAATTTCGGGACCTTGGAATTATGAAATAGTTACAAGCCAACAAGTAATTAAACTTAAAATCCTAATTCCCAAATCTATTATGCTACTCCTATTGAAACTAAATTATTTCTGCATGTTCACTAGTAAAACACAAGGTATTGTAGCGATTATGAGTAGAAAGCTACAATGTATTGAATATGTTTCCTTTCGTATGATTTAGATTTATCTTTTTGAATATTTAATCTTCTATAGACTTTATTCTTGAGATCCAGCTTGGTTAATATCTTTCCACTCGTGTGATTTATATTTTTTTGTATTTGCTTAGTTTCTTTTACACTGATGTAGAATAGTTGATGGATCTATACTCCAGCCATCTTTTATATTTTCTTAATTTATCACCTTTTAAACTGTAAAAATATCTAGAGAGTTTTGCTAAGTCCTATAAAAGTACGTATGTTATTGCATTCTACTTCTAGTAGTGATTTTTACATGATATGTAAAAAAAATTACCGAATATTTACCGAACCATACCTATACCGAAGAGAAAGCGACATTAAATGGACGGTTTTGGAAAGTCTAATTTTAGTGATACATAATAGAATAACCGAAAAATTGGTATGGTACTCAACATTTTCATCAAGAACTCTCAAAGTTCATAACTCTTCAACCGGAAGTCCAACTTACGTCAAATAAACTCCGTTTTCACCAAATTTTACATCATTTAAATACTATAACAAGTTTATACCGGGCTTAACCAAAATACGGGCCCGATACCAATGGTTTCAAACATTAATTCTTTTCTTCATTTCTTAGATAATTCCGCAAAATAATTTCTTCCAAAAATTGATTTCTAAGGCTTGGGACCTCGGAATTCATTTTCGGGCATACGCCTAAGTCCCATATTTTACTGCGGACCTCCCGGGATCATCGGAACACGGATCCAGGTCTGTTTGCTCAAAATATTGACCAAAGTCAACCAAAAATTAAATTTTTAACTCTAAACATTTCTATTTCTCATTTTTTCACATAAAAGGCTTTCCGGATATGGGTCCGGACCACGCACGCAAATCAAGGTAAGGTAAAAAGGAGGGTTTTTTAGACCTCGGAACACTGAATTTACTTGCTACCCCACGCTATTTCTACTCCAAAAGACCTATTATTCCAAGAGATCATTACACAAATAGCCGGTCATATTTATTATATATATATATATATATATATATATAAATTATGCATATATTATACTTTCACCGGTTATTTTTAATAAAGCGACTGGGTAGGCGCTTATTTGGATTATCTTCTACTTGGATTTCATCAGGCCCAATACCTTTTCATCTTGCAAAATAAATAGGGGCTTTACATGAATACCTAGGCGGAGTAAAATATTTACATGCATGTACAACAACAACAACAACAACAACAACAACAACCCAGTGTAATTTCACAAGTAGGGTATGGGGAGGGTAATATGTACGCAGACCTTACCTCTACCCCGAGGGGCAGAGAGGCTGTTTCCAGGAGACCCTCGGCTCAAAGAGGCAACAAGAGACACTATATTAGTACTATCAATAGACTCATAATAAAACAACATAAAATACCATAAAATCCATAACATAACATAAATACCATAAAAAAACAAAGTAACAGCAATATAAGAGATATAGGAAATACGAGAAAGATGTAAGGTATTAATACACAGAAGATAAAGCCCATCATCAGTAGTTGATCAATAGCATCCTAAGACTAATTCCTAACTGGCTAGTCTCACTCTAGTGCGCTGTAAAAAAGACATCACAATTTCCCCTAACCTACAACCTTAATGCTCGATCTCCACAATTCTCTGTTTAGGGCCATGTCCTCAGTAACCCTAAGTCGCGCCATATCCTGCCTGATTACCTCTCCCCAATACTTCTTAGGCCTCCATCTACCTCTCCTCGTACCCACCACCGCCAGTCGTTCACACCTTCTCACCGGTGCATCAGTGTTCCTCCTCTGAATATGCCTGAACCATCTGAGTCTTGCTTCCCGCATCTTGTCCTCCATGGGGGCCACACTCACCTTCTCTCGAATATCTTCATTTTTAATCTTATCCTTCCTTGTATGCCCGCACATCCACCTCAACATGCATGTACCTATTTACAAAATTTATTCCTTAAAAAATTATTCTTTCCTCCCAAAATGTGTAACTTTTTTATTTTTCGAGATTCAAACTATGTAAATATTGAATAATATTAGAATATATTCTTTTCATCATATTGGCATCAGAAGATAGCAACTTATATCCTTTTTTTTAAAAATAGTTTTTAATTATTTAAATTGTGACTTTAAATATTGAGTCGATCTAATTTAATTTATCTTCAAAAGTTAATCAAATTAATGCTTGAAAAGCGAAAAATAACATTTACTTTAAAACGAAGGAAGTACATTGTAGCAGTTATCTATGTTGTATACCTTCGAGTATGATTCACATTAAGGTATAAGAATATTTGGGCTACACTATTGTATACCTTAATTGTACACTCTAAAAGTATACAATGTAAATACCTACTAGTATTTTGGAAATATTTTTCCTAATAGATATGGAGTGTAATATCTTTTGACAAATGAACCATTATTATTTTTTATTTTTTATTTTTCTATAGTGTCAGACAGACTTTGATGCACTTTTGCTATCTCCCTCTAAAATTAATAACATTGTCTATTACAATTTAAGAAGTTAAGATGAAATCACTTAATGTGTTATGAAACATAAAAGAA